CTATCGAAGAGGGATCTTCTTTGCGGGCACAAGGTGCAGAATTTGGAATTCTGTGAGCATTGTGTGTTTGGGAAGCTACATCGCAGCAAGTTTCCCAAGAAGGGTATCCACCGGACGAAGGGGATACTGGATTACCTCCACTCCGACTGTTGGGGTCCTTCACGAGTTGAATCCATTGGAGGCAGCAGGTATTTTTTTGTCTATTATTGATGATTATTCGAGATTTACTTGGATTTTCATGATGAAGCAGAAAAGTGAGGCTTTCACGAAGTTCAAGCAGTGGAAGACATTGGTGGAGAATCAGACCGGGAAGAAGATCAAGAAGCTGCGAACGGACAATGGTCTGGAGTTCTGCAATTCTGAGTTCAACGAATTCTGCAAGGATGAAGGGACTGCCCGTCATCGGTCCGTGAGAGATACACCTCAGCAGAATGGTGTTGCAGAAAGGATGAACCAGATATTGTTGGAGAGAGCACGGTGCATGCTCTCTGATGCTGGACTAGAGAGAAGATTCTGGGCAGAAGCAGTGAACATGGCGTGCTTCCTGATCAACCGTGGACCTCACACAGGTATCGAGTTGAAGACTCCTTATGAGGTGTGGTATGGTAAGCCTGCTGATTACTCTTCACTGAAAGTTTTTGGGTGTCCTGTTTATTATCATGTGGATGAGGGTAAGCTGAACCCAAGGGCAAAGAAGGGTGTATTTGTGGGTTACGGAGATGGAGTTAAGGGATTTCGAGTCTGGTCACCTTCTGAGCATCGAGTTATACTCAGTAGAAATGTGATATTTGATGAGAAGTCTATGTTTAACCCCATGTTGAAGGTTATTGTTGTTGAAGGTAGCAGGAATGTTGATAAACAGGTGGAGCTGCAAACTCTCAAAGAGAGTGAGTTTGAGCACCAAGGTGGAGAAGATCAACATGATGAGGATGTCTCTTCAGAGCTAGAAACTTCAGAGTCCAGTGCACGAGCTCAATAGTCTATTGCTTCCGGTAGACCGAAGAGAGCGACTGCAGGAGTACCTCCACAGAGGTATGGCTTTGAGGACATGGTGGCGTATTCATTTCAGGTTGCTGAAGAAGTGGATGCAGGTGAGCCACAGTCCTATAGAGAAGCAGTTTCGGGTGGCGAAGCTGATCAGTGGCTTGCCGCAATAGGAGATGAGATGGAATCCCATGACAGGAATCAGACTTGGGAGCTAGTCAAACGACCACAGGGAAGGAAGATTGTTACAAACAAGTGGATCTACAAGAAGAAGGAAGGAATCACTTCTAAAGAGGGCATGAAATTTAAAGCTCGGGTGGTTGCACGAGGCTTCTCGCAGAGGGAAGGAGTTGACTACAATGAGATTTTCTCACCAGTGGTCAGACATACTTCGATCAGAGTGCTACTAGCAATAGTGGCACATTATGACTTGGAGCTCGAGCAGCTAGACGTGAAGACATCTTTCCTTCATGGAGAGTTAGAAGAAGAAATTTACATGACTCAGCCAGAAGGATTCGAGGTTCCGGGAAAAGAAGACTATGTTTGTAAGCTGAAGAAGTCCTTGTATGGACTTAAGCAATCTCCGAGGCAGTGGTACAAGAGATTTGACAGTTATATGCTTGAGTTGGGCTACAACAGAAGTCCATATGATTGTTGTGTATATCACAACAAGGCAGAGGATAGTTCGATGATATATCTAGTTCTGTATGTGGATGATATGCTCATAGCTGCGAGGTCAAAGTCTGATATCCAAAAGTTAAAGGGGCTTCTCAGTGCTGAGTTTGAGATGAAGGATTTGGGAGCTGCTTAGAAGATCTTGGGTATGGAGATTTACAGGGATAGGTCGAAGAATAAGCTTTTCTTGTCACAGAAGAGCTACATCCAGAAGATACTGTCGAGGTTTGGCATGTCTTCAGCAAAGCCCTTAAATACTCCTAGTGCTTCAAATGTTCATGTATCCTCAGCTTATGCACCGCAGTCAGAGGCTGAGAAGGAGTACATGTCGAGAGTCCCATATGCTAGTGCAGTAGGTAGCTTGATGTACGCTATGGTATGCACTAGACCTGATCTTGCACATGCTGTAAGTGTTGTCAGCAGGTTCATGATATAACCTGGAAAGAAGCATTGGCAGGCTGTGAAGAGGATCTTCCAGTACCTTAAGGGTACACCTGATGTGGGGATTAGCTTCGGAAGTGATACAGAGTGCTTGGTGTCTGGGTATTCTGACTCGGACTATGCTGGAGATGTTGACACGAAGAGATCGATGACCGGTTATGTATTCACTCTTGGGAGTTCTGTAGTGAGCTGGAAGGCAACTCTGCATTCGGCGGTGACATTGTCTACTACTGAGGCAGAGTATATGGCGTTGACAGAAGCTGCTAAGGAGGGAATATGGTTGAAGGGACAGGTTGGTGATCTTGGTTTACATCATGATCAGGCAGTGGTGTATTGCGACAGTTTGAGTGCAATATGTTTGGCCAAGGATCAAGTCCACCATGAGAGGACTAAGCACATCGATGTGAGGTATCATTTCTTGAGGGCAGAGAAGAGGATTAAGGTGAAGAAGGTTGGCACCGCGGATAATCCTGCTGATATGTTCACGAAGCCGGTTCCACATGGCAAGTTCCAACATTGCTTGGACTTGCTGAATGTCTTGAGTGGGTGACTTCGCCCTACGGGGGCATTGATGGCGGGAGAGAGAGAAGGAGCAGAGTACATAAGAGATTTCAGAGGAAGAGGATTCAAGTCAAGGTGGAGATTTGTTGATGTGACTTGAATCGGACTATCAGCCGCTACGACTGGTAATCGGAGAGGGCTACGGCGCTTTTGCATAGGAGGCTCAGTTTCCATGAAAGGGTGTGTTGATGTGACTTGAATCGGACTATCAGCCGCTACGACTGGTAATCGGACTATCAGCCGCCCACGGTGTATGGGCTCAATGTTATTTGGGTTCGGGTTCTGGGCCTGGTCTGTAACCGTTTCCTTTGCCAGATTGGATTAGGTTTAGACCCACATGGAGAAGTAGTATAAATACTTCTCATACTCCTCTGTAATCTGTAATCTCCTCGATATAGTGAAACTGGCTCTCTCTCACCCGTGGACTAGCTAACACACATCGTGTTAGTGAACCACGTAAATCGTGTGTCTGTGTTTTTTCGATTCTCGCTTTCGTATTCTTGCTTTGTCGATTCCGGCGATTTCCCGATCCGTAGCAGCGCGTTTATAACAAAGAAGATGAAAAGAGAAAGCAATCTTTGGATCGGGTGTAGTATTTACCTTTTACAATGATATTGATGAATTGATGCAGTCTAATTGTATTTATTTATGTGAAGGCCTGGATGTGGTAGGAGTAGAAATGGGTCCAACTTTTAGGAGTCAGGTTGGGTCGCTTGCTTGGAAATAATCCGAGGGCCTAGAGGCCCATCTTCTGAATTAAAGGAAAGGACTAAAGAGTCCTTCCGTGAGCTGCGCACAAGCCAACAAAAAGGAAATCGTGTGGGTCTTGGAGGAGAACGTCTATATAGTATTGTTTGATTTGATTTGATGATTCCCTTCTCCTATGGATAGAACCATATAAGCCAACCTTCCCAAAATGCCCTTCCAAGAATTGTAATAGCGAGTGTAGATATAGACAATGACAAATCCATAAATTTGAACCGTGATCATTGTGTCACGTAACGATGTGGGCAAGTGGGTTCCTAGAATAAGGGATAGGAATTATTGTTATTATTATTTCAATTGTTTACGTTAGAGTTGGATTTTGCTCTTCCTTAATTTTAGTGCAATTGGTTGTCATTTAGCTATTTAAAGGAATGAGAATAACAACTTAACAAGCAAAGGCAAGCATTGAAGCCAAAGCAAAACACTATTGTGTTGGTCTTTCCTCATATGTCATATGAAGGCTACTGTTACCATTTTACTTTACCAAACCCTTTCCCATTCTCATTCTCTCTACCCGCCGATTTCTCCATCTTCCCACACCTGTTTCACTCTCACGACACTGCTTCTACCTTCCTAAAACCATAGCTCCCAAGAAATCAAAGCTTAAACACCTAGTTCCTTGGCCCCATTCCTCCCAAGAAAGAGCTACCACCCGTTCCAGATCAAAAGTACACAACACATTGTTAGATTTTATCAGCGTCGGATCCGGGACTAGGTAGAGCTGCGTGTGTTCGAATCTCCACGACCCCCAATATTAACAGTTGATTAAAGCACATAGTATGGTGGGCCTCTGCAAACTTCAAGCCCATGGGTTGGCTTTCGTTTGAGGGGGCGTGTTAGAGAGTGCTATAAGATCCAACATAACCTTCTCTCAACAACTCGAGTTAATGGGAGCAACTAGTTTATGACATGGTATCAGAGCTGGTTTGACCAAGTGGTCGTGTGTTCGAATCTCCACGACCCCCAATATTAATAGTTGATTAAAGCACATGGTATGGTGGGCATGTGCAAACTTCAAACACATGGGTTGACTTCCGTTTGAGGGGGCGTGTTAAAGAGTGCTATAAGATCCACCATAACCTTCTCCCAACAACTCGAGTTATTGGGAGTAACTGGTTTATGACATGGTATCAGAGCCTTCTATGACCGAGAGGTCTTGTGTTCGATTCCCAGTGACCCCCATTTGTTAAGCACATGGTATTCTGGTCTTCGGACCTGTGCAAACTTCAAGCCCATGGGTTGGCTTTCGTTTGAGAGGGTGTGTTGTTATTAAAGCCGAGCCGAGCCGCTCGGCCAAAGCGGTAAAACCGCCACCCGGTCACAAAATCGACTCAGAACAGTCTAAAAGCCGCTCCGGTTTTATGTAGCGGTTAGTGAGCGGCCGAGGCGATTAACCGTTCGAGCCAATCGAGCCGCTCGTCCAGTTTTTGCCGTTCAGCCACTAAATTTAATTAAAAAATTGTAGAAAATTGAAAATTAAAATAAACCAAAAACGTCGGGCTCTCAAACTGAATCTTTATTTCCATTTCACAATTTCAAAGGAAAGAGAAGAGCTCTAATTAAGACATGTCCACTATTTATACTGATAACGTTTATTATATACCGGTTCTCTAACAGTTTTTAAACGATCTAATGCCGGTTGGATCACTAAAGTGCAAGCCATTCGCATTACCGGATGATACTCCTTAGACTTAATATGTAAATTTATCACTTATTACACATTTGTTTTACATGTAAATTTATCAACATCTGAAAGGCTACAACCTCCTTAGACCTAATATGACTCTGACACTGGGATATAGATGTTATCTCTTTTATTTTTGTAGATCTCTGGTTATATCGTTCGAAGAAAACATAAAATAGCGGTTGATAATGATACATCCTATCATAAAGAACGTTCGGACCTTTTTGCCCTCACAATCCGATTTACATATAAAATATGGCCCAAAAGTCCCATTATACCAGTTTAGCTACCGAGGATAAGACCAAAGGTGCTCAATAGTGCTGCATATATTTGCAGTGTTAGTCACCAAAGGAACAAAATTCACAAGTGATAAAGACGTATCTGTGCTCTATGGGGTTTTCAGCGAACCAAAGGTAAGATGCCCCACTGATGCAGAAACCCTTGTCCTGTGGTGACTTCCAAGACCAGCAGAACCAGAACTGCCAACATAGCTGCTCTCCCGTTCCATGTCTCTGCACTTCTTGTCCAACCCCATTCCCACACCGTCACCGGTGGTGGTAGCTCCCTCCGTTTCGAATCATACGCTGCCAATAACTCTTCTACACTGCCCAGTGGAACTAAGGACTGCCATGCAAAATGTTAAACTCGCCAATCAATAACCTCTGACAAAATGTAAGTTCAAAGATATGATCTTCTGGGAATTGGAAAACATGCATCACTGAGAATGTTAGAGAGTGGTATAAGATCCAGCATAACCTTCTCCCAACAACTCGAGTTATTGGGATCAATTGGTTCTTGACATGGTATCAGAGCCTAGAACCGAAAGGTCATGTGTTCGAATCTCCACGACCCCCAATATTAACCGTTGTCTTTCAAGCACATGGTATGGTGAGCCTGTGCAAACTTCAAGCCCGTGGGTTGGCTTTCGTTTGAGGGGGCGTGTTAGAGAGTGGTATAAGATCCAGCATAACCTTCTCCCAACAACTCGAGTTATTGGGATCAATTGGTTCTTGACAGAGAAAAGTGGAACATCCATGTCTACATTTTTTTTTTAGCTAGGAAATGTAAGAAATGGTACCTGTCGAGCTTCGAGATTAGAGACTGCCATAGCTCCAACATAAGGAAGGCTCTCAATCACAGCATCTGCCAAGTCTGAAATGAAGGTTGGCTCGCATCCCAGAGCCGGAACACGCCCCCATTTTTCTATCCCGGACTCGAGAGCCAACTCTTTATACTCTACGTCAATTTCTTCAAGAGTCTCAATGTGTTCACTTACAAAGCTGAGAGATATGGAAGACCAAACATAGTAAGGTTTCACTGTTGTTGGCAAGCCATATCAGAGACATTCAACTGGAACAATCCATTTTCATGTAGCTGTCATGGTCAGTTCAAGCAAGGGAAATCCAGATTAACATAACATGTTTGACCTTATTGGGACAGCGAGAAGACGTTTGACCCCTTTTCTCCCGAGATCAATGATTGTCTCGTCAGTGTAAGGTTTCAGCCACTCCACAGGTCCAACTCTGCTCTGGAGCAACATTGAAACTATCCAGTGACTCACCGTCCAAGTAGTAGAGAAAAAACCAGAAAATATATGTTCACATGCTACAACTTGTTAGCTAGTTAAGCATGTTCAAGGCATAATTTGAGGTTCCATCCTTGCGTATAGACGAAAAATAGTATTAAGTTTCACCTCATTAAACAAAGTTATTGACTTGATACTTCAATGCAGATGTAGAAACTATGACAAATTGAATCTTAGCCTAAAAAGCAATGACAACCACACGAGTCGAACTACCATCATATGGCTACTTGAAGTATGAACTAAAAGCTCGGCAGTTGAATTGAGTTTCCAATAACGAAGTTGAAACTAGCCCATATTAGAATATGTTTATTGGCATGCCTGTAGTTTGTTGAGATCCATATCAAAATAAAAATTTATTGCACTTGCACAGTTGCACTTATGTTCAGGTGTTCATTGACAAAGATACGTACAGTTTCAGGACATGCTTTCTGCATTATGCTAGAAGATCACAAGTTGAGAATAGAGAACAATTTAGGAGAAGTTAAAGTCTTCTAGAGTATCTAAAGCACCTGATAAGCAAGAGTATATGGGTTAGTGATCTGTCTCTTCTCTAATTCATCCATGATCAAATCCACACATTCCTCCATTTCTGCCTTGTACGGATCACCAGCCTCTTCAACGTATGCTATAGGCACTCCATGCGCACTGAAAAATATAACAACCTGCAATGCAAATTTTGGAATTCACTGCTGCAACCTCTATGAGGATAAATACAAAAGGCTTCAAGCTTAATACAGATGCGAATTAAGAAAGGCATTAAAAAAGCACAACAAATAATCCCATTATTTTTCAAGTGGGCAATCACATGTATGCTTTAAGGCAGGAAACTTAAGAGGCGAGGGCTAATATTCATATCCTGCAATGAAGTTACTAGAAATGACTTGCAATGATCTGCTCAAGTGTAATGAAAACATCTGCCGATAAGAGATGTAGTAATGTTTTTAGGGATTGCTACAACTAAGTACAAATAAAGGTTTTGAGGTCATAACTGCATCAAACCACATCCAAGCTTTCCCAATAACATTTATTTTCCCTACAATCCCAAAACTTCTTTCTATTTGGAGATAAAAAGGAATGTGAAGCAACTAACCAATGGCTTAAGGGATTATCATTTGATTCTATGTACTAGCTTGAACATCTCAAGGAAGAACTACCTTTTCAGGATTGTCAAACTTCAATAATTCCTTCTCAATTAGATTGGTCATGGCAGTAATGTATCCTTCACGCTGATACCAGGACGGTATCACTGTATGCTGCATGTTCACTAGATATTCATCTTCCCTGGAAATGGCGAGGAAATTATCGACTTCAAAGTCACTTACAGAGCATCACATATTGACGTAATCAAATAAATAAACAATCACCGGAATATACTCTCCAAGAGTCTCAGGCTGGAGCCACTAGTTGATATTGAAAACTGTGGATATAATGGAAGCACAACAAGTTTTGTAATGCCATCTCTCTTTATCTGCAAACATTTGAAGCATCATATACTTAGCAAATAAAAGTGCAAGCTTGTATAGAAATTCAAGATACTAGGACAAAGACAGAAGCAAAATGGTTTTTGTCCGCAATATAAGCTAGTTTACCAACTTGGAAATAAATTATCATAGATCATTTCAATGGTGACAGAATTTCAATGTGATGAGCTTGAATAAAAAGTTCTACAGATCACTGAGCTAGAGGAGGAAAAAGAATTCAACCACGAATTATAAGAAGACCTTGATTGTTAAAAGTACCCGACCCACTTATACAATGCAGACAGCTAACTATACGACCAAAAGAAGATGATACATAAGCACAAAACCGAAGGCGTTATGAAGCTCCATAAGGAAAATTTACACAGCTGAGAGTTCATGATAGCAACCCCATGAGAAATTTCATTAACCTGATTTTACAGATGCCACTGGGGACTAGTGGTGAGCCAAAAATACCTGTTCAATGGCTTCCTCAGTGAATGGATGCCAATAACGCATGCCAACATAAACTTTTGCTGGAACATTCTTCTCCCAAAGAGACTTCCTCAATGCTTCTGCCTGTGTGAAGGAAAAAATAGCCACTCAATAGAAGCTTCAAGTATCAACAGAAAAACCAATCATAACTTACTGAGTTAGAGAGGAAAAAAATAACTTGTAATGGAAGGTGAGCTTTCACGTATAAGCGTGTGCACTAAACAGTAACAACACACTTGAGCTAATTTACGATTCTAAGCGGCTCCACATTTAGACAACATAACAACACATTGCAAGCTACTTAAGGTACTGTAGGGGAAGAGTGGGGTGTGGTACTGAGATAGAGATTAAAATAGCATGCCTGGGCATCAGTTATCTGTCGCAGGGGAGATCCACCACCAATGGAAGCGTAGCCTTCTTTGCTCTTGGGCGCCCTAACAACTGATATGAACTGGGCCAGAGGCTTTTGCAGAAAACGAAACAACCTTGGGAGTCGAATGATGTCCTAATGATACAGCAGACGACATGGTAAGCAAGCTAAAGTGGCATATCCAATACATAAAAAATTAATCACTCCGTAAAACCCAACATGCCATACTGAGTAGGCTAATCTAGCTTGTTCATACGAGAGTGTTGTGAAATAAAAATGGAAGAGCAGAGGCAGAGGCATCATCTTACAGGGTCGGCAAAGAGGTTGAACAGGAAAGGCTGCACATCATCAAGGGTCTCTGGCCCTCCGAGATTCAGCAACAAAACTCCCACCTTCTCGTTGCCAATTAGAGATGTTATGGGGATATCTTGTGCCGTTGAGGTCACCAAAGCTCTCAAGGGCCAAGCACATTTATCATCTTGCTGAGAGCATAAAGATTGTTCTCCAGGCAACCGCAAAGAACACCTCGACACAGCATGAGTTTTAGCGGGATAGGAATTAAGAGAAACATCCACATGGAATGCAGAAGAACACTGCAATTTTAGAGATGCAGAAATTGGCCGTGGCAGTAGCCTGCGATAAAAAGGAGCAGCAACCCAATCAAAAGATGATTGGTATGATACCAATATATGTTGCAAAGACTGACAATTAAGCGTCAAGGGGACATAAATTATATCTTAACCTGACGACTTGACCAAGACAAACATGAACGTCGGGAAGAAAGGTTGTTTAACCTAAAAGGACATTAGGTGATTATTATATTTCAAGAACCTCAAACAAAAAAACATTCAAATATTCTACTGGTTCGGTCAGGTGAGTAAGCGAAATCCTGGCTAAAAGCTACTATATTATATCATCAAATTACAGAGCAAAGATCAGTACTTTTTCTAATATTAGGTCCTTTTCTGGAAGAACCCATTTCAGGCAAGCCCATAAAAGCAATGAAAAGAACACAGCTTTGCGAATGCAAATCGCTGGCTGGCTGAAGAGGAGCAACGAACAAAAAAGGGAGAGGAGACTCACATGGGGAATCTGGAGTTCCGATGAGCCAAAGCAGCAGAAGCTGTAGATGAGGAAGAAGAGGAAGGAGAAGAGACGGAGTACATTAATCCAGAATTCATTGAGATATAGCTCTCCGAAGTTCAGTTGCTAAAGAAGAAACAGAGTGACCAGGTTACAGGAACGGGCATCTAATGTTGGAGGAGAGAAATGAAGAGGTTCCAACAGATGGGTTCTCTACTCGTCCTTCTTCTGATTCCTGTTTTCATGGAGAGTACAGTAACCAAGGAGCAGCAGACTTGCCCTTCTCACTGGATTAGCTGGCTTTGGCTCCGATGAATAATACAAAGTAACGATGATATTTCTTTGGCTGGTTATTTTTGGGGGAACAGAAGAAGAGGAAGAGACTAGAGCGAGCGACTTATCGCTACTCCTGGAAAATTATAAATGGTAGAAAAACCAACGCCACTTGGACTTAATCCAGTCACGTTTTTGTCAGCCGGTCACTTGCTCACCGCTAAGTGCCAAGCTAACCCATTCGATTTTTTATTTTTCCTTTCACTTCTATATTTTTTTTACCACAAAATCTGCATATTTTATTTAATTGGGAAAAATGTCATTACATTCTTTCAACAACAAGGACGAAATAACAAAAACAGGGGGTCTCTCACACCAAATTTCCGTCTCCTCCTCCCATCTACACTCTATCCTCGCCATTTCATGAGCCACTGTGTTTCAATTTCTCTCCCAAAACCTCCATCGAACTTTACCCCCCTCCAGCCTTACCACTTTAATATCTTCCACCACCGTCCCCAATTCCGTCTCAATTGAATTCTCCTGATTGAGTTTTTGAATCAATGATTGACAGTCTGATTCCATCAAGATCGGCTTCGTCGCATGCACCCGAGCTAGTCGCATCGCCAACAGAAAAGCCTGGGCTTCAGCCATTTCCGGATCCCAATCGATCCTTGTCCTCCTCACCGCCGATAGAACGAACTTCCCTTCCTCGTCCCGAATTACCATCCCCATCCCTGTTCCTTTCTCCTTCAGTTTTGCCGCATCTACGTCCACTTTCAAAGATCCTTTCTTTGGTTTCTCCCATCGTACAATCGGTCTTGACGATCTCTCCAGGACGGCTTCTGGGTTACCGCTTCGAAATTCTTCCGGGTACAGTTGAGATCGTTCAATAATCTCCCATTCTTCAAGCTTTCTGTTGTTAAAGGATGGTTATTTCGATAGCTTTTCCTTTCCCGCTGGTTTACTTGTGTTGGTTCCCCACGGGGTTCCACATGAACCATAGGGCCATAGCCATTGAACATAGCTCTTCGTCTGTAGATTTGTCACTGATCTCACACAACCATTCCTCTGTAGACCTTGCCTCCCCTGCCAAGAACAATTTTTGAATGAAGCTTGGTCGCCATACCCTGCCTACCCAGTCACATTCCCTAAGGATGTGCTCCTGGGTTTTCTTTAAGCCACAGAAAGGGCATTCGTCACTAGCCTCCTGGATGCACTTACTTAGATTTCCTCCAGTTGGGAGGATATTACTTCCCCAGCGCCACAGAAAAACCCGTACTTTCGGTGGTAGTTGAGGCTAGCCGTTATTTATTTATTTAGATATTATTAAGTAAATAGAGTGCGGCTAATTTAGGCCACGAGAAAATTACTATATATATAAAAAGTAGCATGGCGAAGCTTGCCGCATCGTTGCGAACAATATTAAATTTTCATATTGGGTCGCTTTGGTTTAAAAAAAATGCGGCCTGGTTAAAAAAAAAGTTTTTTAATTAGCGGCTTTGAGGGAAGGAGGCCGCCAGGCCTGATTGATAAAAAAAAAAGTAGAGAGGACGGCCAAACAGCCCTGGCGGAAGACAAATTTTTTTTTTCCAGCTCTGCCGCTGTTTCCAAACAGCCCTGGCGGAAAGCATAAAAAAAAAAAAGAATTTGGGCAGGCAGAGCTGCCGCGGTTGCTAGCAGCGCTGGAAAAAAAAATCAGCTCTGCCGCTCTTTCCAAACAGCTCTGGCGGGAAATAAAATAAAAAAAAAATTCCAGCCCTGCGGCTGTTCCCAACAGCCCTGAAGGAGAAAAAAAAATTATATGCATGCAGCGCTGGCGAGCAGCCAAACAGCCCTGAAAAAAGAAAAGAAAAAAAAATTCGCTAATGCATGGACGCATACAGCTCGGATAAATAGAAAAAAAAAGAGGAGAGAGGTGGCGGCCAAGCAGCCCTAATAATAATAAAAAAAAATAAATAATAAATAAACATGTGTGGCCGATGCAGGCCTGCAAAAGAGGGAAAATATACCAAAAGATTTCCGCACATTTTGGGTGGTTTGGTAGTGTAATTTAAAATTATTTTAGGTGTTGTGGATTATGTCAACAATTTGGTTCATAATTCTTATAAACCAAATTGTGGGGGGCATTTGTTGACACCTAAAATTAATTTTGCCGGAATTAAATGTCGCATTAATTAGTCTCGGCATTTAATCCGACACCGCGGGTAAAAAACGGTGTCGGTGTTGCGGAGAGTCAAAGCGATACCGCGAAACAGCAAAACGGTACCGCAAGGAAGCTCTGCGGTACCACGGCATGGGAAACGACACCGCTTAATGAAAATAAAAGAGGGTCGCGCGCGTGGTGTTGGAGAAGGAGTTTTATTTTATAATTATTGTTATTTTATTCCTTGTTGGATGGGGAGAAGCGGCATCGCGGAGAGCTAAAACGGTGCCGCGGAATTAAAAACAGTACCGCGAGGAAGCCCAACGGTACCGCTATACTAGCAAACGACAGTGTTTAATAATAAACAGTGTCGCGGAAGAAAAAAAAACAAACGGAGCTGTTTGGGAAAGGAAACGACATCGCGGGATCATGAAAACAACTCACGTAAAGTTCACGCGAAGCAGTTTGAGGAGCGAAGCGGTTGAGACACGTGGGATTTCATAACGGAGCAGTTGAGGAAGCGGTTCCACCGAGCGTGAAGACTACGAAGCAGTTTTTCGAATAAAAGCAGCGGAGCAAGGAGAGAGAAGGGACAACCAAAAATCAACACAGATCAACTCTGTTCAAACTTTACATTTTCTCTGTAACTCCTTCGCGGAGCTCTCCTTCCAGGAAGGATCTCCATAGTTGTAGTCTTAGTCGTAGTCGCGGAGCTCTCCACAGGAATCTCCATAGGAGTAGCGGTAGAGTAGATTCCTCAAAACTCAAACACCCTCGTTCGAACGTAGTTTGGAAAGGTGCGAACCGTAGTAACGATCATTCTTGGTTAGAAGTCAGAGGTGCATCGATCAAATCAACACCGCCCGGCGGTGGATATTTGACGATCGTCTCGATTTCAGCAGTCGGCGGTGCATTCGATCGAACGGCACCGCAAGAGTTTCCACCGCGAAACATCAAATCAACATCGCCGAAAACGAATTCGGCACCGGCGGTGGCATTTGATTTTTCCGAGGAAACAATTTCCCAGGGTGGAGAACGTAGTTAGTGGTGGGGATTTGGACAATGTTGGCGGCAAAGAGGAGTCCTGCGCGAGATAAACAAAGAAGGTTGAAATTTGGGATTCGGGTATTGCGAGAGAGAAAGGGAAATAGCGGATGAATTAATTAACTTGGAAAATGGTCAATTGATTAACTAATAATGGAATAAGTGGACAGGTGGCAAGGTTTTATTGGCTGGGAATACCACCTCATCAATCGCACTTGGTACTCCAACAATAATTTCTCTTGAAAAATATATACTCATTCATCCATCAAAAATAAAATATTTATTCATTTCACAAAGATGGTTTCAGCCTAGACACAAGAAGCATATCGTTCATTGATTTTACATGTCGAAAATATCAAACTTGTACATAATATATATATGTATTAATTGATGAGTAAAATCATACTAATCGATCATGGATACACATAAATATATCATTGTAATTTCCTTCATTGGCTGTTTCTAATTTAATTAAGCTTGCGGCAATTCTGTCGGACTTCGCCTTGAGACCCATCCTTAACATCGAGCTTGCCCATCTTAACCATGGCCTGCTGGAAGTCGAGGAAGAACATGGCCTGGTTGAAAGCATAGCCGTTGACCACGTTTCTGGTTTTGGGGTTGGAGTACAAGGTCTGGTCGGAGAAAAGCAGCCCTGTCTTTCTGGACAGGGTGTTGTAGTAGAGGTTATCGAAGGTGTTCCTCGTCACGTCGAAGGGCTGCTCGGCTTTGTCGCCGGCGGCGCAGGTCTTGGAGAGTGAGGTGGCGAAGTTAGTGTCCATCATGGTTGGATCTGGATTGCTGAGCCGACTGTTAAACGACGAGCACCTTGCGACTCCTAATGTGTGCGCACCTGCACCACAAAAATACATATTAAGAGTATTTTATATAATTAGAATTGGACTTGGACAGTTGACTTGTAACAACTCGACCCGATGGGTATAACGTCTGTTAATTGAAGTGTATGAACAACTTTATTTTGAAGATTATTTTTTCTTCAACTTTGATTTGGAAAGGATGAATTTTTTTGTTTTTGTTTTGTATCTCGGAATCAATACATGTAGACTATCACATAAATATGATATATTGTTGCTGTTAATTGAGGTGTCTGATGGTATCCTAGTCGATATGGCACATATATAAAGTATTTGTATATAATTGGATATGATCCATTGGTTTTGAGGAATCGGATGTAAGAAGTGTGATTAAAATATTTTTTTATATTTTTATTTTTTTTAATCGACCTGTATCTCTTCTGTTTTATCTTGAATTTTGAAAAAATTTAAACAAATGAAATGAGTTATTGTGATCAATGAAATTATATATATACATTTTTCATATATTTCAAAAAAAAAAAAAATGGCTTACTCATTACCACTCGTTACCTCCCTTTACCAACTTCGTTTTTAACTCAAATTTTGTAAATTTCTGCATAAAAGGAACATATTCAGATATACCATTTACAAACATACCATTTACATCATGTATATTCACACTATTATATATACAATCATTTTATACTATGATATATTCATACCAGCATGATACACTTTATGATATAATCTTATGTAACACCAAACATTTCCTCATAGTATACGTGATAAATATGCTTTAATTCTTTTCTTCCAAAATATATAATATATATATATATATATATATATAAATATGTGGGTCAGACTAGTGTGCTTTTAGAATATACTATACTCCAGTTACTCTTAGTGAGATATCTCTATTTAGATCATAAATTAAATATAGTACAGACTACAGAGTATGATACTATACCCAAATATTTAATGGATAAACCGCAAGTCCCGATTCTCTAAACTCAAACTCTAAGTATTTTAATGGAGATTTGGGTTGAGAAACATTACCAGAAAGGGCAACCATTTCTTGGGCAGAGAAGCCACGCTGGCCAAACGTGCGGATGAGCTCGGAGGCATTGAGGAAGGGAGACGGCAAGTTGATGGTATCCTCGATCTTGGACCTCTTCCCGTCCTTCCTCCCCTTGGGTATCTCGTACACCGGACCTCCGGCGAAGAAGACGGCATCCCTCGCCGCCATGGCGACGATAT